TGTTTATTTTTTAAATACGATCGAACCCCGTATACATATTCATATATTGATAATTTTTATTTTTTATATCATGTGAAATAAACTAAAATCCAATTAGTATTTCATCGCGGAGTTAATGAAACAATTTCTTATATCTATAGTTTTAGCGGCGCGAATCGTATAATATGATATCGTAATTATATTGTGATACACCGAGGAACATATTTGACATTTATTTTATAATTTCAAATATTTCGTATCAATTACAATCTACTGACAAAAGGCAAGAAGTAAAAAGAGTTTTTTACTAACGTGGTTTGTTTTACGTAATTGCTCATGTAAAGTATTTTTGACATCTCAACATTATATCTCAATTTTTATTGCTCTCTTCTGATTTACAATTAAATAAAGATTAATATTATGTCATACATCTCCTTTAAATAAAAATAAATGCAGAATTTATTTTAAATTATGAAACAATTTCGACTAAATAGAATAACATATATAAATAACATGCACGTACATTTAGAGATATGTAATTTAAATATAATTTTTTCCTGTTACTTTTCCCGTATTAAGAATGCGAAATAAGACGAAATCGACAGAATTATACGATTCAAAGTAACAAAAAGACATAATTGTTGTAAAGCATTTGTAGTAAAGCCAAAGTACATTGCACAAATTTTGTGTAACAAAAAGTTATTACAAGCTAATAATCGCTTATTGTATTATAACATAATTGAAATATAAAATATTCATGAGCTGAGTTTGTGCGTAACGAATGTAAGAAGTAAAGCAAAAACCGTGCAATAAAATCTATTTGTCAGAGAATATTAAAAAAATGTAAAAGATATTATTTTTACTTATTTCGTAATATGCGTTAATATTTCGACAATTAAATGATCGGCGCGCGACCTTGAGGTTAAGGGTTTGTTTTGTCGTGGGCGGGCGGATAGGCAGACTCTGGCAGATGACGTGTCACGTTTATGCGTAGTTACCGCGCAGTCATTCTATTATCGAGGCTCGTACAAGCAGGTAGTCGTGTCGCATGTCGCTCTTCTTTACATTTCTTTTTGAAACATAATCGCGAAAAATGCTAAATATAATACGAAACGTTGTACTTTATGAATACTCACAGTGTACGATTACCACCTCGCATGATTAATTGGTAAAACTTCGGAAAAGCTGCAGCAGCTACAATTTTAATGCAAATACATTTTTTCCATGTATTTTTGGCTTCTGAAAACGAATCTGACAATAAAATTTGACGGTCAATCATACTTTGGCTGTCATTTTGAAATACGAAACGTGTATCGCTAAAGGTCAAATAGAGAGTGTTCACCTCAAAAATCGATGAAATTATACTCATTCGACACGTTCTTGCATAAAACGAAAAAATCTGGCAGAAAAAAGCATCGCTCTGCCCTGCAAATCGAGATATTAATCGTTAAAGTTCACGACTATTGAGGTAAGGAAATCTATCATGTGGACAGTGGAGTGTATAGACAGTAGAGCTTAGACTGTGTTCGCTTGGAATATTTCTAATCTATGGAATATTTCTAATCTACGGCTACGCCGCCCTGAACAAAAAAAGAATAACATAAACTCCCCGCTTGGGGCCTAACCGCCTAGAAGTTACAGCCTAGACAGTGTCCACTTGGAATATTTCTAACCCATGACCGTTAAATTTACGAACATTATGCATAGAAACTTTTTTGTAGAGAGTTTAAAGGGCTTCATTTTTTGTTTGAATTTTTTTTTGTGAAATCAATATTTTCTGAGATATGCATTAAAAGAGCGAAAAAAACCGATTTTTTGGCAGTTTTTTCAAAATGACGGCCAAAGTATGATTGACCGCCAAATTTTATTGTCAGATTCGTTTTCAGGAGCCAAAAATACATGGAAAAAATGTATTTACATTAAAATTGTAGATGCTGTAGCTTTTCCGAAGTTTAACCGATTAATTATTCATAAAAGAATCAAAATGACAATCGTGAATCATGGAACAGATATTTCGTACGATTCATTCATTTGGAATAAAAACGCAATGGAAAAATAGAATTTATTACTATTTCGTGATAATTACGGACGACAATTATTTTTGTTTAACGTAAAAGTATACGAGTAACTCTCGATTATTCTTCGAACGGTATCACACGAGTCATAAAAAAGCAACGTTAATTAATACTCTCATGCAAATAACGCAATTCATGCGATTCCTACTTTTACAATTAATATAATTGCGTAATTAATAATTAAATTAATTTTTCGTTTTCGTGCATCCTTCGTGATACAAAATTGAATACCCAGAGAATATACACGAAAAGAACAGTTTTTCTCAAGTATCTAAAAATTTTCGGATCTATCTGAATGATATATTTAGATAAATTTTTAGATATTGAGTAAAATCGTTCTCTTCGAGTAAAAATCCAACGACGGGAAAACTAACATACCCTCGTCGCCGATTTAAATGAAAGTGAACGAACCGCAGCCGGTTCGTCGCGTCGCGCGTTTGCTTCGGAAGTGCCGTTAAAGTTATCGGACTAATGGACTTTTCAATGGACAAAACCCATTCGATGAAATTGTTCGACGATGGAATCATATCTTCGATGTTTCGACAGGAAAGTGGAACTCTCTTTGAGACGTTGCTGCTTAATGCAAGTGGCCACCACGGTCACTGGTGCAACATTCTCACGCCAAGTGCTCCGGGCACGAGGTGATGTCGGCCGCGTAATGTGCGCACTTCGTAGTGCCGTGTTCGCGTGTTTAGCAACTACTGTTGCTAATTGAGGACACGCTCTGTCTGTCGGCAAACGGTTCGGCCCTTAGCGGTAAGAAGCGATCGATTGACTCAAATTCGTCTCTGTGTATTCTGTTACTCGTTATACAGTTGTTATGAGTTTATAACGATTGCACAACGAGTTACAGAATTTCGCTGATGGTCGCAAAAAGGAGTTGTATGATTCTGGTCGGGGCGCTCATTTCTCTGCGTTTACCTACCGGCTGAATCACGTTTAATCTGACTTGGTTAGAGCCTAGCTCTTAGTAGATTCTTTTAAAACCTAGCTCGTGACGAGAGATTGGATCCGATTTCCTGGATCGTCTAGATTGTTAGACTCGGCAATGGGTACCAACTTTTCTCTTATTAGAGGCGCTTGTCACGTCTATCAGCCTCTTCTAATCGCTCGTGGTACAGCACCACTTGTGTCTCACTAGAACTAGTGTTAGGACGTATGCTTGAGCCAATTTTAAACGTGATTTTGCGTAAATCAGAGGTGATGGACTCGATATGATCGATTTCGTCTTCTTTCGTGTGAGGCTTAACTCTTGTTCGGCATTCATCGTGTGTTTCGCATGTAGGGTAGACCGAGGCGAATCGGATCACTTTTTCTTCATTGGTAAAAAAGTAGTAAGAAATATATTATATTATTAAGTTTTATTATAAATATTGAATCTTTAGACCTTTGACTTCAATTTTATATAATATAATAATCGATACACATATTATTTTTTATTGCATAGTAACATCAAAGTAAAGAAATTATCCGATTCACCCCACAATTGGGGGTGAATAGGATCATCAGTTTAAGTTTAAATAACATAAAAATAAATCGGTGAATTCTTTGAAATAAAATATTTTTACATCAAAAATAAACTATTCTTTGAAATTAACAAATTCTTTGAAAATATTTTATTTAAAATGTTTAACTTTTTCTTCTTGCATGCCATTTATTCTTGCTCTTGATAAATCTTCTGATTTTCTAATAGCAATGTCTTTATACATGTCGAAGCATAAATCTGTGAAACCAGTCCTCTCCTGCTATCTTTGCATCGGTATTAAAATTATGTTTTAAATTGTAACGAACAACAAAATCGTAAGCATATTTTCATACATTTTTTAGAGTTATACCAAATCCTCGATTAGCCAGATAAATTAAACGCTCAGCAAACTTCTTTTCGGTTATTATATCCATGACGGGCTATCCACCACGATGTTTAATATCACCTCTAAGAGAAGTAATTCGCCTCTGTAAGGTTGTGTACGGAATTTCATAACATTGAACAGCTTGACGCAGTCATTTTTCCTGACTTAACCTTTTGCACAGCTTCATTCATTGTTTCTTGAGATCATGCCTTATTTATTGATTTACGAATGTATATGCGAACCATCTACAAAACAAGGGCTCAGTTTTATTATAATAGCTGTAATTGTCAAAAAATATCATGATCCGAATCGCTCCGAAAGAGGTTATCTGATTAACCCCAATATTGATTCTATATGTTGTAAATCAGAAATTCTTTTTATGTTTTAATTAATATAATAATCAATAACTAATATTTTTCCGACATTCTTAAACAGAGGAATTTTAATCAATCAATATCAATTTAACATATTATTGAAAAGAACACATCATCACATAAATTTCCTACCGTCAGATCATATCTACAACATCAATACATCTCGTCCTTCGCTCCTGCATTCAACGTACACGCGCTCTTATTAAACGCATCATTTTGTCAGCAACCACAAACTCTGATCCGTGTAGATATTAAAATTATTATTCAATTACATAATGTTAATTAACAAAACATACAACGCATAAAATTGGTGAGCTCATCCGCACGCAGCTTACAGAGAGTCTAAGCAAAAAGAAGTTCTCTAAAAACAAAAAACAAAATCTTCTGAGGAAGAGTAACGAATTTTAAGAACTCCAATGTTTCCGATTTTCTCTTTCCAAAATGTTAACTTTAAACTAGAAACTAAAACCAATACTAAACTCGAGCAGTATTACCAACCAACATTCTCCCTTAATTCTGATCGAATTTGCACATTATTTTTTGGTGGATCCATATATTCGTTCGGTTTTTGTTAGTAGTGCAAATTTTTTCCGAATATCTCCGGTTCTGGTTGCCTAATCGGGCAATCCAAATATGTTTTGGAAAGGTGACAGTCCGCTCTTTTCATCTGTCAAATTTGGTTTCATTGGCATTAGTTTTGTTTGTGCTACAGGCCTGTGAACATGTCGGAGAATAAGGTGCATTTTCGGCACATTTTGTTTTATTACTTCAAGAAAGGCAAGCGAGCTGCGGAGGCCCACCGAAAGATATGCGGCGTATACGGGGACGATGCCTTAACAGAACGTGCCGTTCAGAAATGGTTTGCCAAATTTCGTTCCGGAGATACGAGTCTTGAAGATGGACCCCGCAGCGGTCGGCCTACCGAAGTTGATTCGAATGATATCAAGGCACTGGTTGAGCAAGACCGGACGCTAAAGGTGCGAGAGATTGCGGAGACACTTAAAATAGGTTATGGAACCGTACAAAGGCATTTGCAACAGCTTGGCTACGTGTCCCGCCTCGATGTTTGGGTGCCGCACAAGCTGACCGAGGAGAATCTGGCCAACCGCATATCCATCTGCAATTCACTTCTGAAGCGGCACGAAAGCGACCCGTTTCTCAAACGAATAGTGACTGGCGACGAAAAGTGGATTATCTACGACACATAGTGCGCAAGAGATCGTGGGGAACC